GCGACCAAACTACCGCTGCAGCCGGTGTCGAGAGTCATGCTCGGGCCCTTGAAATCATATGTGTAAGAGACACGGTTGGCCATGATGGCATTTCCGGTGCCAGTTGCAGCATACTGGGGCTGCCAGTCCATGTCACGCAGACAGATCTGCTCGTAATCTAGGGAGTGTCAGAATTGAGTGAGACAAGGACCGCAGCCAGAACATACCTTTGACGAAAGAGCCGACGTAGACAGCCGTGGGGCTGCCTTTGAGATCCTCGGTTCGAAGACCAGCTGGGACATGTTAAGTTGGATTCTCTTAGGACGAAAGAGGCGACATACCATTTTCAAGTGCCTCGTAGGAAACCTCGAGGAGGAAGCGCTGCTGGGGGTCGATCGCTTTCGCGTCTTCGGCCATGATTGAGAAGAACTAGATCACGAAGTCAGAAAGAAACGCGAACAGATAGCCATAGGCGTGACCGTCGCAGCACTTACCGACGCGTCAAATGCAGCTACGTCGTTCTTGATGAAATGCGCACCCTTGAAAGAAATCTGGAAGCACTCAGTCAGTCATCTCGCATCAGACGATGGAATATGGGATGAAATTGTCAGATACGTACGCTGCCTTGACGGTCGCCGCTCGGATGATAGTATCCGTCAATATTGAGACGATCCTTGGGGAATTCGGACCAAGCAGACTCCTTGTTAACCATCATCTGCCAGAGCTTCTCGGGCGTCGTGGCGTCGCCGGGGAAGCGGCAGGCCATGCCAATGATGGCAATGTCCTCCATCTTCTCGTTCTTGTCCATCCCGACACGATCAGATCGCGTACTCGAACGGGACTCCGACGGGGTATGGTGAAAGAAATGATTGTGCAATCAGCAAGAATGAACAAGTAAAAGAATGCGTTTGTACAATGATCTTTGTGTGAAAGAAGCGCTCCTCCTGTTGCGTAGAGTGCTCTGAGGGGGGAGAGGAAGCAGGAAGAGGGAGATGGAGATGTCCAGGAGGAAGAGAAGGTGAGGGAGGATGAAAAGTTTTCAGAGGAGTTGAGATGGAGAAGACTTTTCTCTTGATCTGGAAGTAAACAGACCAAGGTCAAGAACGAGGGCGGGTGCCCTGACGAAAAGGGCTAGTGTCGACGTGAGGTGAGGTGTGGAGGTGAAGTGAATGTGAGGGTGAATGGGCCGCTCCGATCGTGGTCAACACTTCAGGAAACCGCCACCAAATGCAACCCCCCTTCTTCACAGAGAAGCAGCGGTGTTCTCCCGAAGGTAAATACTCTTCTAGTCACCACTCAGGCTTCTTGGACCCCAAAAGCTGCCCCTTTGGGTAAACGCAACTCTTTTGGTGTGGTGTAGATGACCGGCGGCATGTGCAGAAGGCCGCCTTCATGTGGATCTGACTGTCATTGTAGGCCTTGTTCTTTGTTCAATGATCATGAATGAAGGGCTGCCATGTGGGTATAAGTAAGCCAAACGTCTTTTGAGAACTGATCTATGGCATGGCCTCTTGGCCCGTGATCATGGAAGGCAATGGCCAAAAGTCATCGAAGGCTATAAGATTCTAGCGCATGAACGACACCTTGGATGACGATGACCTCAAAGTTGTCGGAAGGAGCTTGGAATAGAATAAGGTGGAGGCGCAGTCAGCTTTGGCATGCAATCAGCCCTCTGACATAGGGCCGTTGGGGGCCGCAGGGAACAGTGGGAAGGGGACAGAAACTTTGTTCTACGTTGCTGCAGCTAGAGCTCAACTTGCAGATATCCCCACATTTGGTCGGGATGGTGCCTCGGAACGTCCTCTTCACCGTATTTCTCAAACAAAATGTACCAGGAACACTAGCTCGCTGGTGTTGTCAACTTCACAGCCCATGGCAGCTTCAATCTTGGGCGTATTGGGCGGTGCTGAATCCTCCATCTCAAGGTACCCCAGATCATGAAGAGCGTTTGTAGCACGACCAGTGAGGGAGGTAGCCAGGTCCGGAAAGGGGGTCCCGAGTCAGTGTCGATATCACGACTCTGGTACGCTTTGCCACGGTGCTGGGCTGCCAATCATCCCACGTTTTCGAGGGATGGGACGTCAGACAGTATGACCTGAGCAACTGGGTTGCAAAAGGTCAGCATTTCTGCCATCACGATTGTCAGAGTTCACGTCCTCATGGTAGCTGCGGGTTGTATCAGAGAGAGGTCCCAAATCTCCAGTTCCACAGTTCAGTCTCGGGCCGAGGACACATGGAACGCCCGAGGCACCTCCAGAGGGTCCTGTGATTGACTCCTGAAATACCACAGTAGTTTGCTCTTCATCCGCGAGAAGCACTGCCCCCCTAAAAATACCAATCCTTCCGTCCCCGAGATGGAGGCTCCTCTTCAACGGGTCGGCCAGGATTTGCGGCTTCACTTGATAACCGTGCCTTGTGGCAGAGCAGTCCGCCGGTATCGAAAGCATGGGGTCGCCGAGCACAGTTTGGATTTGGCCGTATGTGGAACGACTGCATTCGAAGCAAGTCTTGTCCGCCTCGCCCCCAAGCCGCTGTAACCCACCACCATCCAAATCCAAGCTTCTGATCCGAGGCTAACTTGACGTTGTCGTGGAGCGTGACTTCAAAGCCGAGAAAATCCGCTCTTGGAAAGGCGGCATCTTTGATGTTGGTTGATGTGCCAGCATGGTACATGCAGGAACCCTTATTGAGACATAATTGCAAACCAATCGTCTGACAGAGCGGGCAGACCGGACATCGAACGTCGTCGAAAATGGCATAACCACCGGAGCAGCGGAATTGAATCTGCTGATACGATCGCTGGAGCAGGAATACTTGAAGTTCATATTAAAGAGGTTGCATTCCAGATAACTGCTTCGTTTCGTTCAGTTGACCTTGAGAGGGTTAAGACGAAGCTGGTGGTCCAAAGACCCCCTGCATGTAGTAAAGAGAGGTCAGTATACTTCGGTCCGAACTTGATCCGATCCGACTTCACACACAGTGTCTTTGGTCCGGGCCTCCTTCAGTTCATGTTTACTTTAACAAGGGGTTGGTCGCAGCCATCTTCATCCCCTTTCCAGCCACAGAACGCCAGCATATCTCGCCTGTGGAACCAATCGTGGGAGAGAACTGAACCCGAGCTGGAAATGGCACTGGCTTCATGTTGAAAGGTGACCAGTCGATTGCCAAGACGAACGACTTCGGGTGATACAGCATGAAGTACAACACCTGATAAGTCGAGATGAAGAGGTGTGCCCTCCACTGGCTTGTGGCACACACACCATTTTATCCTATGAAAAGACGCTTGGACTTGCCGCTTCTCCGGCTCCGATCTCCAGCAAGCATCACTTCTCCCGCGCTTCCCCGGACCATTAGGGGAATTCAACGCGAAGTCGCACAAGATTCAGGCTCAATGGCCTTTGTTTTCCTAGCCTACAAAGCCGAGGAAATCTCGTTCGTTTTATCCCATCTCGACTTCTACTCTGCATTTCTGAATATGATCGTTCGCAAAAGCTGCATTCTTGAAGGATCCTGTGGCGCCTTAGCGGATCAGGTCTCGGGATGATGGCTACTCAACCACGAGGCATCTCACGGCACAACGTCCCAAGTGGGGGTTTGACGCATAAGACACCAGAGCGTGGTGGCATTTGGAGGTACACCGATCCAGCAGGAGTTTCGTCACCCCGCCTCGCTCGTGCCTCTCAGACCAGAAAGCTGAGGAGGCACGAGGTGACACGGTCGGTTCGCAGCAGCAACAATAGACAGCCAGTCAACTTCCTGCAGAGCCGGCTCTCCTGAGCCGGGGTAAAACAGTGTCGCTTGTTATAAGATGCCCCCAACTTCCTCAGCTCACCTGAGTGGCTCACTTACGACAGCCATGATCTCGGCCAGTGAAGGGTCTCGGGGTGGTACGACAACGGGAGGTGTCCTTGGCTGCATGGTGGCGACGATACCGTATCTGAGAAACCAACACTGTCAGATTTGGCGAATCTACCGGTACAAGCACTATGCCCCAAGAGAACTAGCAACGTGCCTTTTGGCTTCCCTTGACATCTCATCTCGGCCCCAGACTTAGTAGAAGACGTCTTGTCCTTAGTTATGCAGTCGGTACAGTTGGATGCAAGGTACAGAAAGGGACCCTTTATGACCTTCGTTAAGTCTTGACGCCCTAGCTTTGTCCAACATTGCACAGCACCCGTCATCATCCGTGTCTTCGCCTGGGTGAAACTGTCAGAGAAGATTTCAAGCTCAGGCTGGCGAGAAGTGCTGCTAGCATTGCTCTTGAAAGTAGGTGTCTCGGGCATTCTGGGTAGATGCATTGAGGATCTTGCCCACCTTCGAGAGGGCTTCCATCATTATATGTAATGCACTATGGCCGCTGTCCCAGGCCAACAGCTGTGCAGTTGTGTGTGTCTCCCTCCCTCTTCACTCTGTCTTGTCTGCTACGTTCAGCCAGGGGCAGGAGTGTGCTCACATATGCTCTCGCCTTGAAGGAAGCTTCACCACGACATCATTCTTACATCGGCCAGGTGACCGTGGACCTATCAGCATCAGCAACACTGAGGCTCTGCCTTCACTTTCTTTAAGAGGATCACTTCTTACTGGCGAGGGCAAGCCTCTTCTGCTCTTGCCCTTTCGATTACTTCTCCAGATCTGACATAGGGTTGGTAGGGCAAGAAGTTGTGTTGTGAAGCCCCAGAGCTGCCCTTCCCCTTTGTGTCCGGTCAAGCCCTTTCCAAATTTTCATCCCTGCCCCTTCCTCTGCCTCAACCATTCCCCCTCACTTCCCACACCCAATCTACAATTCTTCCTTCCCTCGTTTCATCCTCCCACAGATTACCATCAACTCAATTCCCTTCCTCTACTTCTCGGATCCCCCATCCTGCGTCTCTGCAAGCCGTACTCCGCGACAGCAAGGATCGAAGACGTGCTCCAAGTTCTTTCGAGGAAGAGGTTGAGATACTTCCGTTGCCTCTCGCACTCATTGCCGAAATAATCGAAACCTCCGCATCCTCGGTCGATCGAGCTCATCACCATTCACCATGGAAGCCCCTCAGCAACCTGCCGCGTCCAACGAGCGAATCGCCCAGCCTCTCTCATACCCCAACCCATCCCTGGGCGACACTGCTGGATTCGCCGCCGCCAATTCTTCTCCTCCTCAGGTCCAAAGTGGTCCCCAACGCAAGCCGCGTCTTTCGGACAAGGTCCATGGCGTTCTTCTCGTCTTCAGGTAAAAGAGCATGCTTCCATTCCGACGATACAAGCTAATTTCGTAGTATCCTTCTGGGCCTGTTCATCTCGACTCTGGATACGTCAGTCATCGCCACGTCTCTCATGAGCATCTCCGAGGAGTTTCAAGACCACGCCAATGCCTCTTGGATTCTTCTCGCCTACCTCCTTACGTACATGGGGTGCTCCGTCGGTGTTTCCAAGCTAAGCGACATCTACGGCCGAAAGCTCATCCTCTTCGTCAGCTGGACCATCTTTCTACTCTGCTCAACTGGCTGCACCGCCGCTTGGAGCATGACATCCCTGATCATCTTCCGCGCTTTGAAGGGCATTGGAGGTGCCGGTCTCTACAGCCTTGCTCAAATCTGCCTCCTCGAACATGGTCCTGCCAAAAACCCGAGTCACATGGGAGCTTTAATCGGTATTACTCTCGCCCTCGCTTTCCTTTTGGGTCCAGTTCTAGGAGGAGCCATCACCTCCAAGGTCAGCTGGCGCTGGATTTTCGGTATTAATCTACCCATCGGCTTATTCGCTAGCACCTGTATCATGCTGTTCTTCCCGGCCGAGCGCCGCGCACACCATATCTTCTCGTTGCGTGCCTTCATGAGGGTTGACCTGGTCGGCATGATGAGTCTCCTTGTTGCCTCCATCACCCTCGTTTTCGCTATCGAGAGGGGCGGCTCTCGGGTCTACGAGTGGAACAGTGTCCAAATCATCGCGGCTTTCTGCGCCTCTGGTTTTTGCTGGATCATTTTCGTTGGCTGGGAGACCTTCCTTAATAAGAAGTATTGCGAACACCATAACCACATCCGATGCGTCCACATGGAGCCTGTCTTTACCGCCGCTCTCGCCCACCGCCGCCCCTACATCTGCGGTCTCATCGTCGCCTTCCTGACCGGAGCCCCTTACGTTGTCTTGACAGTTGCCATTCCCGAACGCATGCAAGTCTTGCAACACGCAACTCCCCTCAGTGCTGGAGTTCACCTCCTTCCCATGCTATCAGGCACTGCTGTTGGATCCTTCCTGGCCGGTGCGATCTGCCGCAAGTTCAATCACACGTCCTACCTCATGGTTGCGGCATCGATTACGCAATTGCTTGGAATTGGGCTCATGTTGTCGCTCGCTAACGTCGATTCGTCTTTCGTGCCCGCGTACGGATTTACTCTCATTGTTGGACTTGGGGTTGGAGTGTCTTTCGGTGCCTCAACCATCGTTGCTGCTGTCGAGGAGGACAAGGCTGTTGCTCAAGGACTCATTGCTCAAGCTCGCGTGCTGGGTAGTTGCATCGGTGTGGCTGTTTGCACCGTCCTTTTCCACAACCGCATAGACTCACTCGTCCACATTCTGAACTCGTCACAGCTCGACACGATGCATTCGACTCCCACGGCATCTGTTCACTTCACCCCGGAACTCCAACGGCGTATTCAGGAGGTTTACGCAGTCGCGTTCAAAGATCAGATCATCTTCTTGACCAGTGTTTGCGGCGCCATGCTGCTTGCAGCCATCTGCTCTTTCGAGAAAAGGCCCAGATCCATCAACGCTCTTGCCGACGCCCAGCGCGCTTTTAAGACAAGCCAACAGGAAGACCGCGATGGAACGGAGCTGAGCGACATGGGTAGCGTGCGTACGGCTCGCGCAGGCTGCAGCAATCCGGCCTAAGCTTTCTCATTGTTCGCGGATTATCTACTTTTATCGGGATAACCAATTTCAGGGAAAAGGAAACAAGCCAGGATCTCTTTTTTCAGGGAGTTAAAAGGGCATCAACAAGGTGTATCGGTTTTCCAACGGGGGGCTCAGGGTGGTCATTTGTCATTCGCGTTTTACCCTACGCATTTCAGGGACGAGTTGACCGTTGTTTCTTGGAGGGTTCTACCAACATTATGGTCGAGGAACACCCATGCATGTAGATTATCTTTTCCACGTTCAAAGAGGCTCGCAAGTGACGAGGCTCTCACAATTGATTCGTACACAAGATCAGGTCGTCCATGTTGGTGTGTTTACTGTTTGCCAAAGATGTATGCCTGTTGCGGCTGAACTTTGCGACGTATCTTGCAGGTCCAGTCTCGGGATTTGAAACAGTACAGAGAAAATGTTTTTGACGTAAGACTGAACCACATTAATGTCTCTGATATGCGGAAGCCTTCCGCTGAAACAACGTTCCCGATGTCTGATTCTCGTGCGTCGAGGCAGCCAAGACAAGAAGGAGCAGTCACGTCTGACAGGTGGTGATTGGTGGCAATGCTCATCTGATTCGGGAGGCAAGAGAAGTCGATGGGGGCTGAGACAATGTGTTCGTCGGCAAGGCAAGTCCTTTGGTTGCTCTTGGTTCTTTGACTGGCGATCTGTGCATCATGACAAGGTGAGAAGGCCGGGGAGGTTAGAGGATGACTTTCCGAGGTCACTCTGTGTCTTTGGCGGATGTAGCAACTGCCGAACGATGACACGTGGGGAGAGAGTTCGTCCACGCGAAAGTGATTAGCAGGCTTGTCATGTCTCAGGGTCGGGTCAGACCTGAGGGCATTGATCCATATTACTACTTCAAAATATCTACTGCAAAGCAATTCTGGGTATCTATTGACGGCTCTAAGATTAATATGCTTCCTCACGTTGCGACCACTCGGGGCCAGGTTGGAATTCAACTGGATACCGTCCGGTCGTGATGGCAGTACCATCAACCTCGAGACGAAAGTTGTTGATTTGCGCTCCACCCTCTTCCAAGGCCCAGACACCAAGCCCAATCCAATTGTCACCATTATAGTTCAAGACGCCTTCGGGAACGGGAAATCTTGTCTGTGGGCCAATGTTGCTGACATATTTCCCGTATTGAAACCCGTTGACGTATAGGATGGCGCGATAAACTCCGTCAGAGTCAGAGATGTCGTCAAAGACGAAGGAAAGTGGGATATCGAGATCCTTCCATGGAAGATCTAGGATCAGTCTTGTGCCGTAAAATGAAACTCCCGGAGAGGTGGTGCCGTCGAACGGCGACCCTAGTTCAGAGAGCTCAGATGGGAAGGGGAGATGGTACCCTTGACGCTCGAAATAGAGACCGCCCTCGTTCAAGGGCCCCCAGAACTTCTCGTGGTAGTCTTCGCCACCCAAGTTTCCCGTGAGCTTCCAAGTTGTGATGTTTGTTGTGGAGCCGGAGGGTGAAGTCAAGGTGTAGTCCAAGATGCCGCGCGGAGTTTTCATCATATCAGTCGCAATGATGAAGTTCTCTTCTAGACCCATAGTGTCGACTAGGATGGTGAGAATGTGTGTGGCGTCTGCAGTGAGGTTTGTGATGGGGTAGCTTGCAGTGTTGTCACCCGAGGCGTCAGGTCCATTCGTGAATGAGCCGAGGAACGTGTCGTTAAGCCAGACGGAGCTTGCAAAGCCTGAACCACCCTGGGTAGTCACATTGAACAGGTTCTCGGTGCCATTCGCAATAAAATAGCCTCGATATATGATGGTGCTGCTGTGGAAGCCATAATCCGAAGCAAAAAGAGATACTGGGGTCGTAAGGTTAGCAGCCGTGTTATTAGACGAATCGTGGTCTGCGCGTGTCCAAGCAGAGTCGTCGTATTCTGCGACAACTTCAGGGAGCGAGTCCGTGTAATACCACCTGAGTGCAGCCAACTCCGGCACGACGGGCGTGGCATCCGAGAGCGATGGTCTTGCAAGCATGTTACCAAGCTTATTCGTGGTAAAATCCGTTTGCCTGTCATTGATCTCCAGCGTAGTAAGCGTAGTGACGTTAACACCGATGATCTCCAATTCAGTGGTTTGGTTGAAATCGCCTTGGATCTTGAGCATTTCTTCTTCGAACCAGACGGACCGGATGAGGTATCCTCCGTTGACGATGAGCGATACAGGATTCATGATAGTTGTACCATAGGAAGAGCCGTCTTCGGCCGGTTGGTCGGCTACCCAGTAGTTATACGCTGAGTTGCGATCTGGGAGATATTAGCGGCTGTGCCATCAAGGATAGCTCTGAATCATAGATACTGACCCAAAATGTAGATCCATAGATCACCGACCGTGACAACCCGTCGCTGCTCTGAAGTCTTCCACTTCAGAACCAAGCTATCTCTGAAGTATCTGAAATGGATATCGTATCCCTCTTGAAATGTCGGGTGTTCAAGTGTGTCCATGATAGCCATCTCGTGCCATTCGTCAGGTCCCCCGTACACCATTAGAATAGTACTGTTCTCGAACTTTTGCCAAGTGAAGATTTCGGCAGTACAGTAAAGCAAGGTCCAGTCGCCAACAGGGTAATCGGCCACGTGAACTTTTGAATCCCGCGGACCAAGCCGGAGCTTGTTACCAATAAACCCAGGGCGAACCGGCCCCCTTGAGGTCTGCAATATCGGGAAGTAGTATGACGTGTCCAGGCTGGAGTAGTTTCTGTGGCGAACCACGAAGTACGATGGTCCATCATGTTGACGCAGCCACGTCATGAGTATCCTTGGGTTACCACTGAGTGCCCATGAAGTCCTATTCACTGGCTTTGCTGTCAGGTACGAGGGCGAGACCTTCAAGAATTGTGCTTCGAGCTTCAACTCCGAATACTTCTCCCTAGCGACGCTTCTATCCTCCTTGATAGCGGCGCCATAGTCGTATGAAGTATAACCTCCTGGGTGGCCCAAGTTGCCCCAATTCGTTCCACCAAAGAGCATGTACACGTTGAAGATGGACACGCCCGCCGCCAGGTTGTTCTTGTAGAATACTCGCTCAAATTCGTGGTTAGTGAGTGCGGCGCAGTTCTCGAAACCATGACCACCCCACGGATCGAAAGAACCTCCCTGAAACTCCAGGATGGAATTCGGAGTGCTAGGGCTTTGTGAGAGATGCAGTCGACGGTAGTTGGTCGGAAGCTTGTTAGCCGGCCATACATCTGGATTACCACAGTCGAACCCTAAAGGGTATCCGTCATAGCCGTAAATATCAGCAGCGCCTACACCCGTGTCAGGTGCGTTGTGGCCTTCAGGTCTGGCGTCGTTGCTAATCATGGGAACCACGATACCGGCCTTCCGGGCCTGGTCAATGACATACTGAAAGTATTCCCCGTCGGGAGACCGCCCCTTTTCGAAGTTGGTGTACTCATTCTCCGGCTGGAAAAGGATTACCGGTCCTCCGTTCGTGATTTGGTTATCAGCGATGATTGCGCAAATCGTTTCCATGTAATTGTCCGTAGCAGAGAGGAACTCTGGATCACTCGTCCGCAGGCGAGCGCGCAGCCTTGATAACCACCCGGGGAATCCGCCGCCAGAGACCTCGGCGTTGATGTATGGTCCAGGCCGCGCGATGAGAAAGACGCCAGCCTCCGTCGCAGCATCGAAGAATGGCTGGAGGTCGAATATGCCGTCTGTGACGATGTTTCCCTCCTTCCCCTCCAGGAGTGCCCAATCAACGTAGAAAGAAACGGTGTTGAGGCCGAGAGCCCTGACTTTCTGGAACAGATCCAGGTACAGACCTGGAACAGGTATGCGGAACGGATGTATCTCTCCAGAAAAGATCATGGCCCGCTCCCCATTGACGAAAAGCGACTGCTCGTCCCAGCTGACGACATCCTGGTACTGTCTCTGATCGATGACATGAAGGCGACCTGAAATGCCGTCGATGAGCAGCCCAAAGGCCAGAAAGGCGAAGGAAAGTATTGACAGCCACATTCGTGATTGCCGTCGCGGGGTCTTCTTGGGGGGCGTAAAAGAGCGTCGAGCCTTTGCATTGGCCGTTCCAAGAACGAGGAGAGTGGGCAGCCTTCGGACGCCATATATGCCGTCGGCCTCACTTTGTTGGGCGAGGGCCCTTGAGCTGATCGATACCGAAAAGAGCGACGTTGTATATAATGGAGCTGTTCATCCAGAATGCAAAAGCAGCGATAGTTTGCCGTCTGCGTTTACTCCAAGTTATGCAAAAAAGAAACGGCATCTGCGCCTATCCAGTGGCGGTGGCATCCTTCCATGCATGCGACTTACTAACTACCTGCTCGCGAACTGCATATGATGAACAGCTCCCTCTCTCCCCCATGACACCTTCCAGAAGGCTCACTTCAAAGGATTTCCGGAAGAACAGGTGTCGTTAACTTCGCATACGAAACGATCGTCCGATGCCCGTGGGACATGCGAACTTTCCGCACAGTCCAATCCTGCAAGTCGCCCTACCAAACGGCGTTGTAAGCTAGACAGAACAAGCTTTTTTGCAGCTTCACCGGCTAAGCCTGCGGGCAACCGTGCGAAGATCTGTTGGTGCTAATGTAGCGAATGCAACTATTTGACGTACATACTTCCGGCAGGGCGAAGACGTCGACGGAAAGCGGATCCGACAATGCAATGCGACCAAGATGCATTAAACGGTCACATGGGGGCTGGCACTAATGAGAACTTCCGGCTGACTGCTACGAAACATTGTGTTGATTTGCATGTTCGAGGCAAGACCACCAGTTGGTGCAAGTGCCGAGGATCACAAGGCATCCCTACTGGTCGTTTGGTTGCATTGAAACCTCGTATATGGTTCGGAAATGGGTTACGCTGCGTGAACAGCCGCTGTTATAAGCTACCTCACAGGGAAACTCGCGGGCTGTCCAGATGTATGACGGCATTCACACATGAACCCAGTCGGAGCCATCGGCCGCGGCTCTGGGGGGTTCTTCTACGAAGCCGACGGGATGTCCATCCTGCTTCCATACTCTGCCGTCCTTCATCACAAAATCGACCTTGCGCAGAGCCCCGGCATCTTCTCTGGGGTCTGCTGCCAAGGCGATGATGTCTGCCCTGTAGCCTTTGGCAACGGCTCCGAACAAGAAGCCGCTCTTCTCCTTGCCGCAGCTTTCCCAGCCTCCGACCATGCACGCTTCCAAGACATCCACCACAGGCAGTCCGGCTGTTATCATGAGCTCCATTTCCAGAGCACCTTCTCCGTGAGGGATCGGACCACCAGTGTCTCCGCCGACAGCGAGACGTACTCCTAGATCATATGCCTTCTTGACTCTCCTGAGACAATCTTCAAAGTATGGCCCATCCGCAGACTTCTTTATCACCGAAAGCGTCGGCACATATATGGTACCCTGACGACGCATCTCACGGAGAACCTGGTCGTTTCCTTCGTTGCAGTGTTCAATCGAGTCGACCCCCGCCTTGATAGCCATCAGAGCGCTCTTCGTCACAGTCGTGTGCGCAGCCACCGGCAAATCAGCCAGCCTGGCCTCCTCCACAATGGCGTCCATCTCCTCCTGGCTGAACATCGTCACCGCCGGGTTGAGGCCCGTCATGACAAACGGGGGGGCGTCTCGCGGTGGGACCAGCGGAGGCGGGAACCGCATGATCTTCCGCCGGTAGTCGGCGTAGAACTTGATCACGTCGGCGCCGTCCCCCACACGCCGCCGGACCGCCCGCCTGACCTCCGCCACGCCGTCGCACACGTCCGCGATGCGCGGCATCGTCGCCATCACGTTCTCATGGCGGACCTCGTAGGACCCGGTGCTCGCGAGGCACTCCGTGGCGACGAACAGCCGCGGGCCGGGCACCAGGCCGCGGTTGACGCAGTCGCGGAGGTTCGCGTCGAACGAACGCATGCCCTCCGTCCCCAGGTCGCGGTAGGTGGTGAAGCCGGACAGGAGCGCGAGGCGGAGGTGGTTGGTGGCGCGAACCACTCGTTCGACAATGCTCTCGTCGCGTTCTTGGACGGTTGAGGAGGCCTCGCTGAGTGAGTGTCAGATGTTGAGGCCCAATTTCCGCGGATGACTTTCATTGTTTGCTCACTCGTAGGGATGCAAGAAGACGTGAGCGTGGGCGTCGACAAATCCTGGCATGACGACCTTTCCGCGAAGGTCGATGTCGCCCGCCCTTACACTGATTTCCTCGTCATCTTTCCTCTTGTAAATATCGGCGATGATGCCCTGGGCCTTGTCGACGACGATTGAGGTGTCTTTGACGAACGACTTGGTCTTGGAATCAAAGAGCAACGACGTGTGCACCGTGAAAGTGGAGGACTCCGAACTCATGATAATCCTGCGTGGGGGAACTATGTTTGGGCGGATCTGTAAAGCCAATATGGTGGAACTGGTGTGTCTTGGCTGTAGGGAATAATCGGTGGTATCGGGCGATTTGGAGACTTTTTGTTACTGACGTACCTATGAAGTGTTTACCTTATCTATGCAACCGCGTACAGTCGCTCGGGTGGCTGGCATTGGACGACTAGGAGAATGCATTTTAGGCAGGTCACTGGCGGTAAGAGACATGCAGTACACAAGCGAAGGGACTTTCGTTACGACAAAGGCTCTAAAACAGCAAAGGTAACTCAAAAGGGAAAACAATTCAAACGTACGGTCTGTCGATCTCTGCCAGAATTACATTGCAAAGGAGCATCACCTCCGTCGTAAGGGAGATATCAAGAGTCCTCAGCAGAGCGAAGTCGGCTTGCTAAGTAATCAGCACCCGGCAGCCTCTGAAGAAATTTGAAGCCGCAAGATGGCCGATGAAGCAAAATTTTCAATCCCCATTAAGTCGCTTTGATATCCCAATGCCGGTCTTCACCATTGATTTTGCTCAAAGAAGAGCAAGACGAGCTCTTGCGACATACGAATCCGAGCCATGCGAATGCGAGCCGGCTCAAAAGTGGGTACAAATTAATGGAATACTGTTTGAACTAGCAACTTCAACTATTCATGTCCTGATTGCGTGATCGTATAGATGACTACGTTACTTCTAGCCAGAGTTCCCGGTGAGGGCGGAATCAAAATTGAGTCCAAAGATGCAAATCCCGTGCCCGAAATCCGTTCTAGTTTTCAATCCCATACCAGGGGTGCAACCGTCGTTGGGCATCACGATGCCAAAGATATAAAGTCTCTCGGAGGTGATCTCCAGCATCTGTTCAGACAATGGAAAAGATATTTCGTCGTCCCAGAAGCCTCCAAAAATGCGCCTGATCACAATCTCTGTCCTGAGCTCTATACTTGGCATCCAAGTTGTTTCCGGCTCCCCTGATCTTCCCATCGTCGACCTTGGATACCAGCTTCACCAAGCGTCCTTCTACAACGTAAGTCAAGATGCTCACAGGAACCATTCGGAAGTAAAGCGAGCGTCTAACTTGGAAGAGCGTCGCCGGCCAACAGCAAACTGGAGGCTTCTACAACTTTTCAAACATCCGGTACGCCGCACCACCAGTCGACAACCTCCGCTTCCGCGTGCCGGAACCACTGGCCACGAACCGTACCGTAGTCGAAACCGGCGTATCGGGACGCGTGTGTCCCCAGAGTTCGCAGGCGTGGTTATCGGAAGCCATCGCCTTCGTGACAAACGTCACCCAAGGACTCGCGTTCAGCTCGTCTGCTTTTAGAGAACAGCAGTCTGCGAACGCCTCTACGACGCCCGTCCGTCAGCCAGACCCGAGAACAAACGAGGACTGCCTTGTTCTTGATGTCGTGGTCCCAAAGTCTGCCTTTGAACGACACCAGTCCACGAATATCTCGGGCTCGGGCGCACCGGTACTCGTCTGGTTCCATGGTGGCGGATACACGACTGGTAGTAAAGACCAATTTGGAGGTCCTGCTGGTCTCCTGGCGCAGGCGACAGCCTTTGAGCCCGATGGTCTGGTCTTCGTTGCGATAAACTACCGTCTAGGAGCCTTTGGCTGGTCAGCCGGGCCCACGATACAATCAGACGGTGCTGCTAATGTCGGGCTGCTTGATCAAAGACTTGCTTTGGAGTGGGTACAGAAACACATTGCCAAGTTTGGAGGCGATCCAAAGAAGGTTACCGTCATGGGCGAGTCCGCAGGCGGCGGCTCTCTGACGCATCATATCACGGTAAAGTCGCCAACACCCTGCATCATTGAGGTCTTTCCGGCGAACCACCGCTGACACTGTACTTCCTAGACGTATGGGGGCAGCAAAGGGGCAGCCCCATTTCGCAGGGCAGTCATACAATCGCCCGCTTTCTTTCCCCATGTGGATGCGAGTCAACAATAGAAGAATCTCCAGACCTTCCTCACGTTGCTGAACGTCTCAACGCTTGCCGAAGCCCGGAAGCTGCCATCGTCAGCACTCTTAGCCGCCAACAGTCAACAAGTCGCGCAATCGCCGTATGGCCAGTTCACTTACAATCCCGTCATCGACCATGGCTACGTGCCTTCTCACCAGGCAACTCTCTTCGCCCGTGGTCAATTCGATCGAGATGTTAATGTGATGTTCAGCCACAATGCGAACGAAGGATTAATCTTCACTGACCCGAGTGTCACCGACGGCTTCGCTTTTCGAGGACTCATCAGTAAGCTCTTCCCAAGCTTCAATGCGTCGTTAGTCGAGCACATCGCCGAGGTTGCTTATCCTCCTGTGTTTGATGGCACTCAACCGTACGTCGACGATTTGGGTCGCGGTACTCTCTTGATGGCCGAGACTCGTATCGTTTGCAACACCCTTCTCCTACGCCGAGCCTTCGGGAACGCGAGCTAAGCTTATATCTTTGCTGTCCCGCCGTCCTTGCATGGAGACGACCTCAGGTACACCTTCTATAACGGTGCTTATGGAGCACAGATGGACAGCCGTTCTCTCAACGTGACGATCGCAGAGGTCTTGCAGGACTATATAGCGTCGTATGCCATAAGCGGGACGCCGGCAGCAGACGTCTCGGGAGTTGGCGTCTTTCCAAAAGTAAGAAGCAAGTCCACGGCATGGACTCTGGACGTGGCTGGTGTGCAAAGCGCCGTCGACGGTGCTGTGAACGATAGATGCTCATGGTGGCAGGCCAATTGGGAGGCCTTTCCCGACACTACCTAGACTCAATATTAAGCTTAAAACCTCTCATCGTAATCAAGTTTATTTTGGCTTGAGTTTCACAGCCAGCTGATTTCAGGTGCGCCCTCGAGGATATTTGGAACCCAAAGCCCACTGACCCGGGAGGGAAGTTTTAACATTGGCAATCGTGCGGTGGCTAGGCGGGTGCCCGGTGCAGATGTCAGGGCGTCGGAAGCCAGCGGCTCCTCCGGTTGCACAGCTGCAGGCGGTCCCTGTTGAGCGGATTACGCCCACCAAGTCTATGGAGAGCCATTGAGTATTATTCCCGGGATGTGGGAAGAGGAGGAACCCATGACAAAGACGAGTTTTAGGCGGAGATATTCTGCTCCCCAACATAGGATGCCCTGATGGCAAAGCTGGGCGAAACAATGTTTTCTTGACACAAGGTTTTTGCTGCTTGGAAAAGTGGGTGTCGAGAGGTTCATCTGGAATTCGGTGCCCGCTCGAGCAATGACGCACGGAAAGGCGTTTGGTGAGCCGAGGAACATGGCAGATCAGGCCAAGCTGACATCCGAGGGCCTCCCGCCACAAGTGGCACTGGTGCATTGCTCGACTCGATGAGCTGCCCGACGATAGCATCATGGTGCAGGCTTCAATACCATCGGTGAAGCATAAAAACATGGCGAGCATGGAAGTGACGTCGGCCGCTGCTGAAGGCGAATGCTCGGGTGTCCGTTGAGGCGATGCTCGACACTGGAGATGGATGTGCATGACATAGTGACATGCGGTTGTGTTTCTTGGTCGGTTCTCAGGACCCTGATCCGCTGTCAATAGGACCCCTCACGTATTAGGCTGTATCGCCGTTCTCTCCAGCGAAAAGGGAGGCGGTAGATGGCGAGCGACCGAGGATTGCCGAGTTCTGGAAGAAGTGTGGAATCCGGATTTCTCGTCGGGGCGGGCAGGAATGACGAATGCAAGAGGGCCCCCCGGGACGGTGGAGATGTCTTGGAAGACCCTGAAGGGAATGGCGCCGGGTTCTGCTGGGCCAGGTGTGGAGGTGAGGACGGGGCCAGAGTGACGGGTCGGTGCTGAAAATAGAGACAGAGATCGGCCCAGAGCAGGCATGTTGCATTGGCATTGCGCTGGCCGGCCGGGGTCCAGTGGAAGTGGTCCGTTGTGTTTGCTGACGGGCCATTGAAGGGCTTCGGGTTGGTGTTTACGCCGTCACACGGTATTGGTAATGCTCTGCTCGCGTTGCTTGGTGGTGATGGATGGGCTGCTGCGCATGCAATGCTTGACTCTCGACGTGGATGGCATGACAGACAGAGTTTGCACCGGTCTGCGGGCGAATCGCGAAGCGGGACGAGGACGATCGCGATTCCCTTCCCTTTTCGGTCGCAAGGCGACGAAGATGCAAGACAGAAGCAAAAGCTTGGGCGGTTAGCGTATCGCCATCGCCATCGCCATGCATCGCCGACGCCTTTGCTGCACTGGTTCCCCTGGCTTCTTACCCTGTTGGGTGCAGGTGCTGCCATCGCAACGGCGACCGACTGGGAGTCATGTTAACGGCGCCGGCAGACGAGTAGGTAAGTAACGAAATAGTGTATAGGTGTAGAGCGACAGCCGGGCCGACTGATGATGATGGTGTTATTTTTGGTTCCATTGTCTGGTGATGAAAGAACTGGCGCGATCTAACGTCGGCTTGTTGCATCTCGTGCCTGCAGGAAGAGAACGATGCGATGCCAGCGCCAACTGACACTGCCGTTGAAGGAGGAATGCGCCGCAGCGGCAGGGTAATGCAAGTCTGCTGTGCAGACAGGCGATGCAGGCGAGGAGTAGCCTGGAACCGCTACTCTGGCGATCCAGAAGGCCTAGAAGGGGCGTTTACCAACCACCTGGCCGCTAAATGTCGCTGACAGTTGGGCTCTTTGCTAACGTTTTCCGCTGGGCTGCCCTCAGAGTCTCGGCCACTTTCGGTGGGAACAGCAGCCCTGCGAGGGTGGAAAACAGTGCGAGCCAGGAGCCAGGAGTTGCCGACACTCGACTGATGTGTGGTGTTGACTGCCCAAGTGGGTGGGCAGAGACACTGTCCAGGTATGGACAGCCACGGGTGCACCACCACCAAACCACGCACCGGATGCACTGTGGGTGTCAAAGTGGAGCCACAAATTGTCCTGCGCTGAATGGCTGCAGCTTCGATCCTGGTGTGTGCCACCGCGCAGTGACGGGCCAAGGGTTCCACACTGCAACCAATGAGCAACCGTCATTCCGCAGGAAACCGACAAATCTGAGATGATTGCGGCCTGGACTGTCAGGCATCTCGTCACCTTCGCGAGGTGAGGCGGTACGTACTGTCGCTTTTTGGCCGCCACCACGTTGTCCCTTGCACCATCCCGGCGCCCTCCCCCCGCCTCTCGCTCTCTCCCTGTGCAACGTAGTGGGTGTCTTTGGGCCATGTTCCATGGGTTTCCCTTTGATTGACGGCCCAGAGAGACTCCAGACTGCCCGGTGACTGGCAGAGAGACGTCCTCCAAGCCACCACACGGACAGTGCGACGGAGAGAAAAGACCTTCCCCGGCCATCCCTGTTCTGTTCTGCCCTCCACCTTGCGCTTGCTCTTCCTGCTTGGCACCGGCACCTGCACCAGCTCCTGCGCCTGCTCCTGACCACAGACCAGTCCTAGGCCACAGACCACCCTCTTCTTCGTTGAATACGAGTCTTGTTTTTCTGCTCTTCCCGCTCGTTCCCACACGTCCCTTCTTAACCCTCACCATTCGATAAAAATCCATTCACTCGCTACTTTTCCTATTGTGTCTCCTCTTGGCCTCTTGGCCTCTTCCTCTCGTTTTCCTTGAATTATCTTCGACATTAACTTCACCCAACGATCCATTATTACCCTTAACCTCTCGGTCGCTTCCGCCAAGGTTCTCGAGTCACTCGCCTACAACCCTACGAATTCTCCGCGAACCCGTCCGTGCCGCTCTCCTATTTTCGTACCCACCGGCTCAGGGCAAGAACTTTCCGAAATTCCAGTCGACTCATCTTTGCCACGAGTTGTCTCTAGTCCCAGCATAGTCGTGTTGGGCATTTAGGCAGTCGATCAACCATCACCCGGACCATTTAACGAACGTGACGGGACTTGGAAATCGGGCGAATATCTAACGGGATATAACCATCCCCGACACCGCGAACCTCACCACAACCTTCGAATTCTCACCGAACCTCACCGCACCTCAAAATGCAGCCTACTTTGGTTCTTCAGGTCCTCATGGCCGCCTCTGTGGCCCAGGCCTCGTGGTTCAACTTCCACAAGGAGGAAGCTCGCGATGGACTTCTAAGGAGACAGTCAGGAGGCACCTCTGCTGCCGCCGAGACCACAACTTCCGCCGCCGCCGCGACGACGACCACATCTGCTGCCGCAGCTACAACCACTTCAGCCGCTGCTGCTACCACAACCACTCCTTCCGCCGCCAGAACCACCACCACCCCGGCCGCTACTCCCAGCGCAACCACTCCCGCTGCCACGACGACAACTCCCGCTGCCTCAGCTGAATCCACGACTTTGAAGACCAGCACTACATCTGCTGCCGGAAACTCGGACACCGCGAGTGGCGAGGCTGCTTCCTCTACTCCCACTACCACCGCTCAGCCTGTTACCTCTACCATCAGGACCGTCATCACAACGACCAACTCTGCTGGCGTTGCCACTTCCTTCACTTCCGAGTCGACCGTCACCAGCACACCCGGACTCAACGAGTCTAACTCTGGCTCCTCTTCTTCCGGCATGTCATCACAAACCCGCAATACCGTTATTGGTGTCGTCGTTGGTGTCGGTGGTGCCATCGTTCTCGGCGCTCTGGGTTTCGTTGCCTGGAGAATCTGGGGCAAGAAGAAGCAGGCGGAGGAGAACGACGGCCTGATGGAATACAACAACCAGTACGGCAACGAGGCCAAGGTCGAGGTCGGCAGCGCCCAGGGCTCCACCGGCCGCACGCCTTTCCAGTCGACCCTCGAGAGCTACCACGCACCAAGCCAGGTCAACGCGTCGTCCAACTTCTAATGCGGCGTGCGTTAGTCAAGCATTTGATGATTGTTGTTGTTGTTGTTGTTGTTGTTGTTGTTTCTTGCGGCAGAAAGCGTTGATTCCCCACGGTCCTTAGCCTACAAAAGGCACAAACCTTCGATGATTATTCTTACACCCCCATACGTTACGGCCGGCACAGCTTTTTTCTACTTTTAAGACCGGCTACACGGAGTTTCGGACCGAATCAACTATTGTTACCACGGCAGGCATGGTTGCATATCGCAGAGTCTAAGGACTAATGGATAGACTTATGTAAATAGAGCAGAGAGTCCTCCCCCTTCTTATTGTCGCAGATGGGCTTGGGATGATCATTGTCAAATCGTTGCCGACTGGGTTTCAGTCGAGTCGCATATCAAGACATGCAATCACCCTAGCAGAAAAATTGGACAAAAACATATTGACGGCAAGTCTGATGAACAAAATCTACTGGGTTCACAGGCTTGGATGTACGTTCAGATACAACTTTAATACTAGGACCGCCAACACTATGGGATCAAAGCACTCTTCTATCGTGAATTGCGCAAGTGACGTGCATCCAAATGAAATGACAGTGACAAAACCTCAACTCAACTTGCGGAGGGGCAATAAGAGAGAGTTCACCCGATCCCTTACCCAAACTCTATTCCCTCCGTCATCCAACATTCATCCCCAGTATTGATCGTCCGTCACTCCAACCTGCCATCTGATGAACCGTGGCCGCGGCAGGATCGTCCATCCGGGCAGCCATCCCGTCTGGGCAAAGAGCGTGCAGCGCGAGCGCACCCAACATCACGTGGACGGGCCCGACCGTCATAATATTATTCCAGTCTCAGTGGTGTTTCGGGTTGCGGTGGTGGTGTTGCATCCCAGCTTTTTGTGGGCGCTTGGGATCTCGACGTTTCAGATTCCATGCGGTGCTTCTTCGTCTTCTTCTTACCCGCCCGCCCTGCTTGTGTGTCTGTGTCCCGCTCGCTTCCCTTCCCTTCCCTCCCCCCGAACGTTAGTCGACGTTAGCTAAGGAGCAAAAGAGAGTTTAATGACCTTCCAACGCTCTCGCGTCTTCGACCTCTTTGCTTTTGCTCTGTGCCAATTGAGTGCTGGCGGCGCCGATTCTTTCGTTCAACCATCACTTCTGACAGTTACCAACCGCGCTCGTTGACGACGCATCACGAAAGAGGTTGAGCCTCGATACCAACCGATTCTATTCGTAATCCACCCGAGGCCATTTGTACCCCGATCGATGCGCCGGTGACAGGCGACGAACGCTCGACCGAGACCTCGAAGGTTTCTTTTTTTACGGTTTACCCCGCAGCATATCATTGCATAATCCAATCCTCGTGATAACGACGAATACCACAACGAACCTCCACGATGCGGACGATATCAGCACACGTTCTGTCGGCGGTGGTGCTTGTGCTCTCGGGCGCCGGCGCCGGCGCGAGGGCGCTCGACATCCACGAGGAACTGCAGATGGGCTGGAAGATGGGCCTGTTGCCGAGGCAGGCGACACAGAACTTGCAGACGTTCACGGGGAACCTGGGCGGTGTCGCGGCTTCAGCGGTACGTCTTTTCTTTTTCTTCCCCCACGATTTCTGGTAGCGAACGATGGAGGTTCGTTGGCAGCGAGGCTTTGGTGGCTTCGCGTGGCGCGAGTTCGGTTTCAGGATCAGGATCAGTATTGGGAGAAGGATGGAAGGATTCTTTGACTGACGGGGCGCTGCTACAGATTACCAAGTCAAATGACCCGAGCCGACCATTTGAAGTTGATGGCGACACTTTTGTGAGTTCCCTCGGCTGAGAGCAGAACCTGGAAGAGTGGTGTGCTAACGGTCAATCACAGCCGGACTTTGCAACCGCGGCGGGCAGGTCGTGCGACAACCAAAAGAACAAATGCTCTCAAGCGGCTAACAACGCGGCGACAAAATTCGACGTTTCCAAGTGTGACGAGCAAGCTAGTAAGTGTTCTGGTGTAATGTGATTGGAGGTGTTGCGATTCGGTGGCTGACATCGCCGGCTGTAGCTGAATGCAGGTCTGCCATTGACTCAACGTCGAAGCAGAGCTTTGGCGACCCAGTGTTTGCGGGATCGGATGGCAACTTTGACATCTTCTGCGATCCTTGAGGGGTTCTTTGTGGGATGAGCCGAATTTTTCTATGACAATGTATGATGTGGTTTGGCCGGACGTCGTACGGCATGTGTGTATGGGAAGGCTGCCTGGCTCGAGAGTTTTCAGCGTGCCAAGGAGGAAGCAGTGAGGGTGAAAATAACAGATAAGAGGGGTGGATTTTGAGTTGCTCGACTAGGGCTGGGGTTCGGCGTTTTGGCTCTCTTAAGAAAGAAGAGTGAGGTTGATATCCGGCGGTTGTCCGTCTGGCGGGTGTGAAGCTTTTCACGATGAATAATGTACCTGGAGATGAATTCAAGGTCTGAACAATGAAGACCCAAATATCATGCGTTGACATGAGATGGCCGAGATGTGGGAATGCCCTCACTCAAGTGGGCATCTCTAGAAGGCGGTTGACCAAGACTCGACCGGACTAACATGTGGAGCAGCAGGGTCAGAGAGGAAATGGAGACCGATGGTACTCCAACGCCTCACTTTTCAAGATGGGCCGGATCTCATCTTTGTATATGAAAAGTGGTCGGTTGTAAAGCAAACGAGATGTCAGTGCAATCCGCATGGAAGCTGGCACCGGACAGCCAAACGGACATTTGGACGAGTTTGCCGCGTGCCGGCCGGCTTCATTTAAGCAAACCTACATGAACCGGGAAGCACCTGCAAGAGTGCCAAATGAATGAGCCACACGAGCCACATGAACTAAACAATCTAACATTGCCAAACTTCAGGAACAACGTTGTTTTCGGTGCTGGAATGTTTTTGCCCCAAGCTCCCTCTCGGCCCCGGTTTTGGTGTCTTTTTTTCTCGACGCGTTCTGTCTATCTGAACCGCGTTTATTTCTCCCGCCTTGCTGTGAAAAGACAATGTCTCGGATTGAAACAAACATCCCAATTGGCAAATGGTTTGAACTAGTTGCTCCTGCATGTTTTGCTATGGATGGGTTGAAGTTCGGATATGGGTACTCTCGTGTGTGGGAGACTGGATGAAATGGCCATCAGCTGAAGATGGGTCTTCTCTTGGACCGCCTATTCAAACCGGCATGCACACATTGGGTACGATGTCCTGCATGTTCGAAGTTGGATGACACGTCCAAAGTTCCGAGAAAGATTTTGATGACGGCATTTTTTTTTTTTTTTTGGCGTCGAGTTACCAGAGGACCACCCTTGTGTCTGCGACTGCTCTACTCCATGCGGCTCTACAATTGTGCTGCAAAGACCCTCCAAGAGGATTGAATCCATCCAAATGCAGCCCGCAGAGGGGACTATTGCCTGTCATCATGCAAAGCATCGGCAAAAAAGGGGACCCGTCTAGCTATCAAACGCATGCAAGCTGCGCTCCTCTCCTGCAGCAAGCCACAAAGTCCGTGACAGCAGCGCCGTCTGGGCCACTGGGGCAGGTGGAAGGTTGAAGCCCACTTCAGGATCAGGCAGGTCGAGACGACGACAATGGCAAGTGTCAGTGTGGCTCGGATCCATTATCCAGTATGGTGTCGCAGTGAAGCAGAAATATCTAGCTGCTTTACACACGTGCAGTCGGAGGAGAGAGCTCAACACGTGAAAATATCCAGCATCGCGGGCCGTCAATCGAGCCATTGGCAAATACGATGTCGTCTAGGAATTCAAGCAGCGGGGCTTTCATCCGGCGGAAATCACCCACGGCTGGAGAGTGATGCAAAAGAAGGGAGGTGAGTCCGGGGGGAACGGGCCGGGTTGATAGCAAGTACATGTTGTTCGCTGGTGAGAACACCTCCAGGGAAAGTACTCCTCATCGGCCTAGCCAGACGACATTGGCTTCGTGCGGGCTCGGTCCCGTGGCCTTAGCGGGGATGCTCATTAAAACAAACATGGGCCGCTTACTGCACCTGTGCCGTTGGCGTCCTTTTTGCCGGCCTGTCCCTGGCTTTTGGCCTTGCCCCAGTCCATCCCATTGGAAAGTGTGGAAGGAAGGCAGGCAGGGTCCCCCGTTCGTTCGTTCGCTCCGTCTCCCCAAAATTCGTTGTGGATTTGGGACAGAGGGAGACGGACGGTCTTCTCGTCATTCGTGCAAGTGATTAGTGCCAGCTGTCCTGTGTCTGGATGCACCTGGATGCCGAGTCTTTCGAGTGGTGGTTGATCGCTGCTTCCAGCAGAAGGAGATCCCGGCGTTTGTGCATGTGCAGATGACAGCGGCCAATCTCTTCGTGCCACTGGTACTGGCCCCACGAGAGCGGTCCAAGGAATCCCACGTCCAGGCCCATCGTGTCCCATCCCATCATTGCGTGCCTGATGTGCTGCTTCAATGGGACTGCGGCCTGTGTAAATTGACGGGTCTGTTTTGTGCTCTGCTGGCTGTCTGTTCGGAGTCTTGAAGGATGATGAAAGAGGTGCTGCAAGTGCTGCCTACCCACCCAGCTTCAATGATGATGCTAGGTGTTCTTTGCCTCAACGGACATCAACTGCGGTTTACCTACCTGCACCGTTCCTGTACGCTACCCGTGCCGGTACCTGTACCTTGCCTAAATCGTCTGGTCCCCGGCTCGCTGTCTGTGCATGTATCCTGCCACGAGTTTCTGGCTGCCAAATACCTCGAGTCAACGCGACTGCTCAACCACCACTTGGCACCCATCTCCAAGCACGAGGTAGCTTCCCGTTGTCCGTCCTTGCCTTTCGCCTTACCTTGCCCTGGACCTGGACCTTGACCTTGCCTTTGGCTGCATCGCCTTACCTCAACCTCCCCCGGCCCATCCAGTCCTCTCACTTTCTTTTCACCTCCTTCCCGACACCTCGCGTCACACTAGAACGTCCTGTCCTCCTTCTTCCCTCCTCTGTCTTCTTTCCCCCCTCCGACGCCCCGTCAAAACATCCAGATCACATCTCTTCCTCACATCGTCAAGCTATCGAGCTGTGATCCCAATGCGGCCGGTACCTACGAATCGCCGCCGCCGTCTTTCTGCTTCCGCCTTTATGTCGCTCCTTATTCGATAATTTTCCCCAGTTCATTTCTGCAACGAACCCCCGTCCTGTGATCCCTGAACCGGGGCGCGCAACCTGTGCAAATAATACCTTATTCCTGCTGGGCTGTCTTTTTTTTTCTCTGCCACACCCGCCCAAAAAAATACGCGTCGCGACCAAAAAAACCGCCGGGCCCCAAATATACACAGAGCGAGTCCCCATCTCAAATTACACGGGCCTTCCCTCTCCTCCACCCCCTTATTCCTGTCAACAACACCTCGACAGCATCGTCCGTTCGCTCTTTTTCTCGCGGCCTGCTTTTTGTGAGTGCGTGCTGTCACGAACGAGAGAGGGCTGATGAACAAAGGGTCCTCGACGCGAAAACAGAGACTTGGCTGCAGACGACTCAATCGTCTGCGCTGATCTCACCGTGGTAAGTCATCTGCAACATTGCCAGCATTCCTGCCCCGACACGTACCTACCTTCATCGCGCGACAAGAACGCCACATTGACCTCTCTTCTCCATCCGCACAGAGTCCCACGAAGACGTCTCCTCAACAGGAACCGACCATCCCTCCTCCTGCTGCTTCTGCACAGGACGGCTTTGGACCTCGTCGGCCATCACCTCCGACGTCTCCCGCTCTTTCGTCCACATCTACTGCCGCCGACGGCGAGGACCTCGGGTCCTCCCCCGTTCTGCCTCCGCTTCCTGCCCCTAGGCTTCCCGGCCGGGCCAGGGATATTTTGAGGAGCAACCAACCAGAAGAAGAGTACGTGACTGCAAGTTGGGGCTCGCCTTATTCCACCGAAGAAACGAGGAATCTTCGAGACCAGAGCTTCGACAGCGACGAGGACGAATCCGACGGCTCGCCAATACTCCACCATCTTGCGATTGATACCCCTTTTCTTCGTCCGCCTCCAAATTTGACTCTTGGAGAGAACTCCGACGACGACGCGGCAGACCTAGACGGCAACGACGCCGAACCGTATCTTAGCGCAGCCCAAGTCCTTGCGAATCGCGCCCGACGGCAACCGCGACGATTGACGGAGGATTGGATTCGCCAGCACACCGCAGGCGAGAATTCAGAAAGCCGCCACTGGTTTAGCGACGGTAGTGAGCACTCTTCATTGAGCGGCTCAGGATCCGCAGACGAAGCTGCGTGGCGAGACAAGGAGTCTTTGCGAACACCGAAAGCCAACACACGTCGCGCCGCCCCCGACCCGCATTTGGCACCCCGACACCCCCGTACCCGGTCCAGCGCCGAGACCCTCAAGCCGGGTGACGTGACGCCACAAGCAAAATCACCAAACGCAAATATGGAGAGCCCCGAACTCTCCAAGGCCGACATGGCCGCCGAACACCCAGATCTTCATGTTCCCACGACCCCCCGGAGGGCCGCCAGTGCGGCCACCGGCGACTCAACGAAGACGCCCATTACACCAAAGAGGAGCGCATCTGCGAGGGTAAATTTTAAAGAGCCGACTATGACTCCCCGAGTGAAGAAGAAGGTTCCGTGGAAGGGTAAGAATATTATGGTTCTTGTTCCCAGAGACGACGAACGTGGACGCCCTGGCCAAGCGCCTCGGCCTCTCAACCAGACTGAAGTTGAAGGAATGTTCAGAGAATGGCAAGAGCTTGGATACGACATCAGCGGCTTTGACTTGGACGCAGCGGAGGGCACATACCAAGAACCGACTGGATATTCTCAAAGTCGAGACGGATGGCCCTCCTTCGAAGACATGGCACGAGAGCGTGCGGAGCGTGTGTATAAGGTCACATTGCCTGATTTGAACGCTTGGAAAAACTATGTCAATGAGCTCAACGAAGCCAAATTGCGAGCTCTCGGAGTGTCCTTCGGAGACGACGAGCCACCGGCACCCTCGATTTCGCCGGCCGCATCGCAGCCCAGCCGACAGGCTTCTGCGCAATACCCACCTTTGCCATTCTCTCCGCCGCTTCCGACGTCGTCGGCATCAAGCAACCATGCTGGCTTCCCGTTCCCATCGCAGTTCATGCCCGGACGCGCGTCGCATACTCATAGCCCCAGCATTGCTTCACCTGTCGGATTTGG